TCCCGTTGGTCGCATGCAATTCTGAAGTGAACAACTTTGTACTCTCGATAGTCTCCGTTCGTTTGAAACAATATCTCTTCATTCTGAGAGAAGCATCACCCCGATCAACGTGCACTCGATGACACTCCTCCTTCTCCCCCTCACCAACATGAACAACATCCTCCTCAGCCACCTCCTCCTGCTCCATCTTAGCAACTGCTTCACTATGAACATTCTCCTCCTCCTCGTCCTTGCAGCCAGGGTTCGATGCCACAGCATCAGCTGAACTCCAAACCGCGGTACTCCCAACTGCAGAACTCCCAGCTGTTGAACTCCCAACTGACTCCACAACTGCATCAGCGGAACTCCGAACAGTGGAACTTCCTACTGCACTCCGACTTCCTACTTTTTGAGCACTAAACTTTGAGTGCTCATTGACCTTTGAACGTGACTTTCCGTGATTTGTCACGTGGTGCCTCAAAGTAGGTCTTTGATCTGGTCGACACTACGGTTGCTTCAAAGAGGACTGGTGTGTACTCGTCCTTTTAGTTGTTAGTTTTGTGTTTGTCTCAGTGGTGTTGAGACGGTAATCACTGTATAAACCAGTGGTTACTGTATGGTCTCTCACTGCTTTTATTTTCAGTGGTGCTGAGACGGTAATCGCTATATGTGGTTACTGCATGGTCTCGCACTGCTTTCAATCTTACAATCTTTGAGTTGCATTCTCGTGTATTGTATACTTGTGCATTCCTGTACAGCTTTGCTGTTTGTGCACTTGTACTTAATCTTTGCAGCTTCGCTGCTTAGGTTCTTTGTGTTTAGGCCTGCTCCCATGGGAGCTCGAACCGGCCTTCGCAAAAGACGGAAAAAAGACCAGGTTGAGGGTTCACCGCCGGCACCAGTAGAGTAGAAGCCGGAGGGTGGTGCTGCCTGCCAGCGGCCCATCTTTGCCGGACAGATCTGGTACGCACACGAATCGATTCTGAATCATCAGGTGCGTTCCCCCGTTCCATCGAGAGGTCTGGAATCGGTCTGCTACTCGAGGTAGGTCCGCACAATTATTTATATTCTTTGAGTCATCTTGACAGGTACTGTCGGTTTTCTGTGCTTAAATCGAGCTGTAGCATATCTACGGAGCTGGTACACAGATAAATCAATTCAGAATCATGAGAAGCGCTCGTCTGTTGGATCTAGAGCTCTGAATTGAGTCTTCTACCCGAGTTAGGTCCGCACAACTATTTGCATTCGACCGTGTCTTTCGAAATGATGGTGATATTTTTCACTTACCTCGAGCTGCAGATGAGTTTGAGAGCTCTTCTGCACAGACATCAGAAGCAACTCATGAGGCGCGCTGGTCTCAAGTATCCAGACGCTTGGCTTGGGTCTGTTATGAGCGCAGACGCCGAACAATTCTCTGTTATCTTTCAAGGAATTCGTTTCCTGGGCTGAACTCGAGGTGCAGATGAGCTTCAAAGCTCTGAGGCATTGAGGAAGGGAACCATTACGTGCGCTATTTAAGTATCTACACACTCGCGCTCAGTCTGCTATTAGCGCTAGGGCTGAACACGGATTCGTACTCTGCTACTTCCTTGGAAATGGTATTGTTTTTCTTGGTTCTACTTGTGCTGCAGATGAGCTACAAAGCTGTTCAGCAGAGCAGTGGGGAGGGAATGATAGGGGGCAATCAAGACATGTATCTAGAAGCCTGCTATCAGCGCTCGGGCTGAAAAACTATTCGTTCTCTGCCAATCCTTTGGACATAATACATGGCAAGGAAGCTCTACGAGTCTTCCGCCGGAAAGAAAGGTTGACGGTTTACCGCCGCTGCCCAGTTGCTGGAGCTTAAGACTATTTCGAACGCGCTTGGAGAGCTAGTTGGCAAGAAAAGCTCGACGGACCTTTTGGTGACTTTTGCTCGGTTGAAAATTATGTTTTCGAAATTCAACAATTCGTTTGAGCTCTAGTATTTGTTCAGTGATATTCGATCTTATTCCCGCTCGCCGTCTCAATCTCAGCTCGATCGGGTATCTATTACTGCCAAAATGCATCCAGGCGGGATTGGCTGTTTCGAGTCATCTTGAGACGCGTTGACGGTTTTCCGTATTTAACTCGAGCTGTAGGAGAGCTACAGAGCTGGTGCGCACAGGAACCGATTCAGAATCATCATGCGCGTTCGTCTGAAGCATCCAGAGGTCTGGACTCGGTCTGCTACTCGAGCGAGGTCCGCGAAACTATTCGTATTCTTCGAGTCATCTTGACAGGTGCTGTCGGTTTTCCGTACTTAACTCGGGATGTAGGAGAGCTACAGAGCTGGTGCGCACAGAAACCGATCCAAAATCATCATGCGCGATCGTCTGTTGCATCCAGAGCTCTGAACTCGGCCTGCCACTCGAGCTAAGTCGCAACATTATTCGTGTTCGATTTTGTGTTTCTCTCCAGAATGATGGTGCGTTTCTTCACTTCAGATGAGCTTGAGAGCTCTTCTTTGTTTTCGACATGTTTTTTTGACATGATGGTACATTTCTTCACTGAGCTCGAGCTGCAGATGAACTTGAGAGCTTTTTCGCACAGAAATCACACGAAAAACATGAGGCGCGCTAGTCTGAAGTATCTAGACGCTTGACTTGGGTCTGTTATGAGCGCAGACGAAACAACTAGTCATACTCTGCTATTTTTCTGGTGACGGAATTCGTTTCTTGACTGAAATCGAGGTGCAGATTAGCTTGAGAGCTCTTAGGCATTGCAATGGGAAGCGAATCGCCATGCGCGCTATTTGAAAGTATCTAGACACCCGCGCTGAGTCTGCTATTAGCGCTAGGGCTGACGACCGATTCGTACTCTGCTACCTTCTTGGAAATAGTAGTGTTTTTCTTGGTTCTACTCGTGCTGCAGATGAGCTACAGAGCTGTTCAGCACAGTTACAGGAAGGGAATTGTCAGGGGCAGTAGTGAAATGTATCTAGACGCCTGAGATCAGGTTGCTATCAGCGCTCGGGCTGAAAAACTATTCGTTCTCTAACAATTCTACGAGTCCCCCGGCGGTAAGAAAGGTTGACGGTTTACCGCCGGCGCCCAGTAACTCCGGGGTTGGAGGGCTAGATGGCAAGAAAAATCTCGACGGACCTTTTGCTGATTTTTGCATGGTTAAAAATTATGTTTTCGAAATTCAACCATTCGTTTGAGCTCTAGTAGGTTTTCCGGTGATTTTTGATCTTATTCCCGCTCGCCGCTTGAATCTCAGCTCGATCGGGTACCTATTACTGCCAAAAAAGCGTCCAGGCGGGATCGGCTGTTTCGAGTCATCTTGAGACGCGTTGACGGTTTTCGGTACTTAACTCGAGTTCTAGGAGAGCTACAGAGCTGGTACGCACAGAAACCGGATTCAGAATCATCATGCGCGTTCGTCTGTTACATCCAGAGGTCTGAACTCGGTCTGCTACTCGAGCTAGGTTCGCGAAACTATTTGTATTCTTCGAGTCATCTTGAGAGGTGCTGTTGTTTTTCTGTACTTAACTCAGGCTGTAGAAGAGCTACAGAGGTGATATGCACAGGATTCGATTCAGAATCATCAGGCGCATTCGTCTGTCGCATCGAGAGGTCTGAACTCGGTCCGCTACTCGAGCTATGCTCGCGAAACTATTCGTATTCTTCGAGTTCTCTCAACAGGCGCTGTCGGTGTTCTGTTCTTAACTCGAGCTGTAGCATAGTTACAGAGCTGGTACTACTCGAGTTAGGTCCGCAAAACTATTTGTATTCGACAGGTTTTTTGTCGACATGATGGTGAATTTCTTCACTGAACTCGAGCTGCAGATGAGCTTGAGAGCTTTCTCGCACAGAAATCACACGAAAAGCATGAGGCGCGCTAGTCTGAAATATCTAGACGCTTGGCTCGGGTTTGTTATGAGCGCAGACGCCGAACAACTAGTCATACTCTGCTATTTTTCTGGTGATGGAATACGTTTTCTGGACTGAACTCGAGGTGCAGATGAGCTTCAGAGGTCTTAGGCATTGCAATGGGAAGATAATCATCATTCGCGCTATTTGAACGTATGCGCTCAGTCTGCTATTAGCGCTAGGGCTGACGACCGATTCGTACTCTGCTACTTCCTTCGAAACGATACTGTTTTTCTTGGTTGTACTCGTGCTGCAGATGAGCTACAGAGCTGTTCAGCACAGCAATGGGAAGGGAATCATCAACAGTGAAATGTATCTAGACGCCTGAGATCAGTCTGCTATCAGAGCTCGGGCTGAAAAACTATTCGTTCTCTGCCAATCCTTTGGACATAATATGCGGCAAGGAAGCTCTACGAGTCTCCCGGCGGCAAGAAAGGTTGACGGTTTACCGCCGGCGCCCAGTTTTTCCCATAGTCGTCTCCTCCAAGTGTTTTGACAGTAATATTGCAGCTGTGGACCTAGGAATTGCACTGGCAGACGCGGCATAACCCACTAGAGGTGCGAAAAATCTGGTTTCTCAAAAAAAATGGTTAAATATCTTTCAAATCGTAGCAAAACCGACCCAAAGTTACCGCATTATCCGCCCGCCCCCATGGTGACAGCCGTTCTCCCCTAGGGCGAATTGGAGCCATTCCTTGAACCCGCCAACGACGTCGGGGAGAACGGGAACCCTCTCGTTCACTACATCGATTTCATCGCTGGTTACGAAGACCCGATTCCCCCCGAACTGGACGAGAAGTACAAGGCGGCGTGGAGGGACAACGACTACCACCAGCTCCCACCGCCGTTCGGCTTCAAGCCGGCGCCGCCCAGCCACATGACCACGCAGATGTGCATCTTCGACGGCCCCGACGGCACGAAGAACATCATCAAGCATTGCATCCTGCCCAACAAGGCGAAGGCTGCCACATTCGCCAGCATGGCGTTCGGGGGCGTGAAGAAGCTCGTGTTCCAGCACCCCAAGGTGCGCGACCAAACGAAAGAGGCGAATACGTTGCGGCTCAGGGTTGGGATGTTTTCCCGCGCCCAGGGAAACGGACAACCTGCTTGGTCGCCGCTGCGCCCCAGCACTTTCTCGTTCGGTCGCGCAAGGTGGGGGTCAAGGTCTGGCAGTGCGCCTTCGAGCGCTTTGGCGGGAAACAATTTCGGGCTTTTTATTGTCGCCTGACGTCGAGGCGGCTGCCAAGGTGAACAAATTCCACGAGCTCTCGGACGGGGTAACAACGCGGGCTTCGAGTACATCCTGAAGAACGCGCCTCGTTCCACGGCCGATCTCAAGCAGCTGGCATGGCAGACGAAGGCGCTGCGCAAAGGCGCCCCCCCCGCGGCTGGCCTGTCGCCCTGGTTGCGAAGGCTCTGAGCGGCCTCGCGTCGGAGGGCGCGCTTGCGAAGACTGAGTTCAAGTGGCAGATCGCTCTGACGGGGGAGCACTTCAAGCCGTGGGTGCTCAACGTGATGTCGGAGATCATGGACTCGCTCGGCTCCATCGTGCTTATTTGAGAGCCGAATTTCGGGAAGACACCCTGGGCCGTTCGTATCTCTTCGCGCTCTGCCGCCGAAGCGCCCGCGCCCACGGGTTGGACTCCGCGACCGTGAGCGCCCGCGTGACTCCCGAGATCGACTTCTTGCGGGGGGGGGCCGGTTTTCTCACCATGGGCGACTTCTTGGATGATGGATCCCTCAACCAGCTGCCGTCTAAAATGGTCGAGGCACTGATGGACGTCGGCCAGTTCGAGCCCACGTGCTGGGCGCGATGGGTAGGCCGCCAAGTGGGTCAAAGGCGAGCCGCGTGCCATCGGCGACCAGATGTACGACCCCAGTGCGGTGAGGAATGCCTGTTGGCCTTCCGTGAAGTTCGACGACTTCTTCGACCTCGTCAGACCAGCCTTCCACGAGAAAGCCTCCCGCGCTTGCGTCATGGCGTTCATGAAGCGCGGGGGGTTCCTGGTGAACGCGAAGGATCACGCGCACTGGCGCGCCCCAGGGACCCAGGAGGCCGACGTCCAGCGCAAGTCGATCTGCGGCCTAGACGAGTACTTAACCGCAGAGGGCAAGCGACTGCACGGGCTGTGGACGACGGGAAATCTCACGGCGCCGCCAAACATTGAAGAGTTGTTGCAGAAGGAGCAGACCTTCGTGGACAACGCTTTCAAAGCCAGGGCAAAGGCGACGGCCGCCCCTCCGCGCGCCCAGATCGCGGTGAAACGGGAAGTGGAGTCTCCCGAGACAAGGAGGTTCAGGACGTTGGCTTCCTTCTCGGGGACGCTCGACATCGACAGCTCACCTTCCCCCGCGAAGCGGCAGGCTGCGGCGGCGTCTTCGTCGTCTGCTCTCGCCGCCCCAGCCCGCGGCGAGCTTGAGGCCGACCTCTCGCAAATGTTGGGCGCAGATGGCGTTGGCCCTGACCTGGATGAGGAGGCGGGCGCAGCGGACTTCCTCGGGGCGGCTCCTTCGTGAGCGGACGGCGGCGCTCGCGCTCGGATGGGGGCGAATGCCGCCGCGCCCCAGATGGGCCCGCAGCGCCCCTCGGCAGCTCGCTTACGAACATATCGGTTTCTGGACTCACACATGCACACCCATGCATTTCCATTGTGCCTGTCTGAAGCGGAAACATGTCGCCCAGTCGTTTTGGCCCCCTGTTCCGTCGTCGCTGTCGTCGTCGTCGTCGTCGTCATCGTCACCGCCGACGTCGCCGTCGCGCTGGTCGCTGCCTCTCTTGCTTCGCCCTCGTCCTTCCCGCCTGCTCGCGCATCCATGGACATGTTCGAACCAGCCGCCGCTGCCGCCATTGCCAGCGGTTGTTATGCGCAGCGCCCGCACGCCGTTGCAAGTGCGATTGCCCGCAGCATTTTGGCTCACCTGTTTGAAAATCTTCTTCCTCCACCACCACCCGCCGCCCCTGGGCGCGACGCGCGCTGCCGCCATGGGAAGCGGGCCCCAGTCCAAGCGCAGGGGCGGGCGCAGGGCGGGCAAGGAGGCGCCGCGCAGGAGGCCCGCCGCCGCGCCCACCATGCGGAAGCCGTCCGCAGCCCCCATGCAGAGGCCGTCCGCGGCCCCCAAGAAGAAGTCGCCCAGCGTGCCCTCCTTGCCGCCGGCGGTACTGGGGGGTGGTCGCTTGGTGTCGACCTCGCACAAGAGCAAACTTTTCTCCGTGGAGATGCCCTCGTTTGCCGAAGTGGCGGTGATGAGCGACGCGGACGTGGGCCGTGCTTTGCGCGAGGCTGGGCGCATCCCGCCCAAGACTGACCGCGCGCGCTGGAAGTGCGGAGCGACATTGTTGAGCAGGAGAACGGCGACTTCAGATGCTGGGTCAAATCGCGCCGTTGCACCACGAGCGCGCGGGCATTTACGCCGCTGCTGAACACGAGCCTGACGACCGCGGACTACTACAGCTGTATCTGGGTGATTGGTTGCGGGGTCGACCAGGCGCAGACTCACCGCGTGACTGGCGTGTCCAGGAAGAAGGTCGAGCTGCTCGTGCCGCGCATCGCGGAGGCCGCTGCGTGGAAGTCGATGCAAGCTGCCGACAACTTCGAGAATTCCATTGGCGAGGTGGAGATGGGCGCATTCGCCTGCTCGGTCCGCCGCGCTGGCAGCGCCACCCAGGACGTGCACGTGGGCCGCGGGATCATGGTTGCGGATCGCGCGACTGGCACGCGCGCGGTCTTCCCTGCGAAGGGCGCGGCACTGCAGAAGGGCGCGCCGCCTCCGCCGGAGGACGCCGAGGACGTCGCCCCTGCCATGGCGAAGATTGATCGGGAGCGCTGCCTGCTTAACACCGATGGCGCGCAGATCTACGAGAAGAAGGCAAAGGCCGCTGGCATCCTGCCCAAGCCCGAGAAGATCGGGATCAAGAGCTCGCGGGCGGCCTTGGCCAAGATGGCCGCCAAGCGCCATGCGCATATGAGGAAGACAGGGGGAACTCCACGGCCGCCAAGTGCGCCAAGGGCCCCATGAAGAGCAAGAAGGGCCCCATGAAGACCGCGAAGAGCTCCGAGGCCGCCAAGTGCGCCAAGGGCCCCATGAAGAGCGCCAAGAGCACGAGGGGCTCCAAGACGTCCTAGCTCCTGACGCGGTCCTCGACCAACATGGCAGAGGCCAATATCGGCGTCGTGAAGGGCAGCATGCACAAACGCAGCTACCTGGGGAAGCGCAACGAGAGCATGCGCACGCAGTCCCAGCTCTTCTACGAGAACACGCCTGGCTTGACCCCGAACCTGAATGCCATGGGGGAGTTCACGAAGTTGTTCCTCGACTCCTGCGACCCGCGGCAACTGTTCGGGAAAGGGAACTGCCAGGTGATCCACAAGCAGCACTGACCCTGCGGCTACGAACGATGCTCTCCATGGCGGCGCTGGGGCACGCCGCGACTCGGCAGGTGGCCTGCTCTTGTATAAAGGGCCTGCATGCGCTCAGCACTTGATCAACGATCACACTCCCGCCTCGCATCCCCGTCGCGAAAACGAGAGCCGCCCTGCTTCGCAGCGACGTCGACGAGGGAGGGTATCCCGATGCCTCTCTTCTTCACTCCTCTTTCTCGTCGTCCTCCTCGTCGCCATCGTCGTCGTCATCGTCGTCCTCGTCGTCGTCGCCGCAAAAGGATTCCATTGGAAAGCCTCACAACGGGACCCCTTTGGAAAGCAATCCAAAGGGATTCCAGTGGAAAGCCCCACATCAGGAATCCGTTGGAAACCGCAACAAAGGGATTCCATTGGAAAGCGCCGCACAGGGATGTGGGGAGCGAGAAACCACAAAAGCACAAGGAACAACCAAACAAACACGAAAGAAATCAACGACCGACGGCTTGCACACAAAAAACATTGAAACACCAAACACAACTTAAAACAAGTTAAAACACCAAGACTTCGTCCACCACCCCACCGCCCCCCCTCCCCCCCCTTCACAATGCGTCTTGATTTTGGGGTTGTTTAGGTTGTTTGTTGGTTTTCCTTGTTTTTTGGTTTTCCAGCCGTCGGTCTTTGATTTCTTTTGTTTTTGTAGTTTTTCATTGCTTTTTTCCCAACCATCCTGTGGTGTCGGGTTCTCGTTTTGAAAAAAGCGCCCCCCGCGTTCTCCACTCCTCCTCCTCTGCCCCCTCCCCCCCCTCCCCCCTCCTCCCTCCTCCCGCCATCATCGTCGTCATCATCCTCCATTTCGGCGCACCCCTCACACGCTTCGTCGCCCCATAGGGAGCCCCACCGAAGGCCCCAGCGCTGCCGCCCGTACGCGTCACGCACACCCAATCCGGCACACCCCTCACACGTTTCGTGGCCCCATAGGGGGCCCCGCCGAAGGCCCCAGCGCTGCCGCCCGCATGCGCCACGCACACCCAATTCGGCACACTCCTCACACGTTTCGTGGCCCCACACGGAGCCCCACCGAAGGCCCCGGCGCTGCCGCCCGCATGCGTCACGCACACCCAATTCGGCACACCCCTCACACGTTTCGTGGCCCCATAGGGAGCCCCACCGAAGGCCCCAGCGCTGCCGCCCGCGCGTGCGTCCCGCGCACGCAAGTCGGCACACGCTTCGTCGCCCCATAGGGAGCCCCACCGAAGGCCCCAGCGCTGCCGCCCGTACGCGTCACGCACACCCAATCCGGCACACCCCTCACACGTTTCGTGGCCCCATAGGGGGCCCCGCCGAAGGCCCCAGCGCTGCCGCCCGCATGCGCCACGCACACCCAATTCGGCACACCCCTCGCACGTTTCGTGGCCCCATGGGGAGCCCCGCCGAAGGCCCCAGTGCTGCCGCCCGCATGCGTCACGCACACCCAACTCGGCACACCCCTCACACGTTTCGCGGTCCCATAGGGAGCCCCACCGAAGGCCCCAGTGCTGCCGCCCGCATGCGCCACGCACACGCAATTCGGCACACCCCCACGCGCTTCGTGGCCCCATAAGGGAGCCCCACCGAAGGCCACAGCGCTGCCGCCCGCATGCGTCACGCACACCCAATTCGGCAAACCCCTCACACGTTTCGTGGCCCCACAGGGCGCCCCACCGAAGGCCCCAGCGCTGCCGCCCGCACTCGCCACGCACACCCAGTTCGGCATGCGCTTCACACGCTTCGTGGCCCCATACGGGGCCCCACCGAAGGCCCCAGCGCTGCCGCCCGCATGCGTCACGCACACCCAGTTCGGCACACCCCTCACACGTTTCGTGGCCCCGTAGGGAGCCCCACCGAAGGCCCCAGTGCTGCCGCCCGCATTCGTCACGCACGCCCAATTCGGCACACCCCTCACACGTTTCGCGGCCGCATAGGGAGCCCCACCGAAGGCCCCAGTGCTGCCGCCCGCGTGCGTCCCGCACACCCAAGTCGGCGCACCTCTCACACGCTTCGTGGCCCCATAGGGAGCCCCACCGAAGGCCCCAGCGCTGCCGCCCGCATGCGTCCCGCACACCCAATTCGGCACACCCCCCACACGTTTCGTGGCCCCATTGGAAGCTCCACCGAAGGCCCCAGCGCTGCCGCCCGCATGCGTCACGCACACCCAAGTCGGCACACCCCTCGCACGTTTCGCGGCCCCACAGGGAGCTCCACCGAAGGCCCCAGCGGCGGCGCTCACATGCGCATGCGCCCCGCACACCCATTGCGGCACATCCCTCACAGGCTTCGTGGCCCCATCATCCACCGGAGGCCCCAGTGGCGGCGCTCACATGCGTCACCCACACCCACCCAATTCGGCACACCCCTCTTACGTTTCGCGGCCCCATAGGGAGCTCCACCGAAGGCCCCAGCGGCCGCGCTCACATGCGCCTCCGCCACCCATCCTGGCACGCCCTTCACAACAATAGGTTTCGTGACCCCATAGGGAGCTCCACCGAAGGCCCCAGCGCCGCCGCCCGCATGCGTCACCACCCGCACCCAATTCGGCACACCCCTCACACGTTTCGTGGTCCCATAGGGAGCTCCACCGAAGGCCCCAGTGGCGGCGCTCACATGCGCCCCCGCCACGCATCCCAGTACACCTCTCACGCGCTTCGTGGCCCCATAGGGAGCTCCACCGAAGGCCCCAGTAGCCGCGCTTACATGCGTCTCCGCCACCCATCCCGGCACCCCCCCCGCAGCAGCATCGTGTTTCGGGGGCCCGTAGGGGGCTCCACTGGAGGCCCCAGTGGCGGCCCTCACACGCGTTTCCGCCACCCATGTCGGCGCGCCCCGCGCGTGTTTCATGTCCCCATGGGGAGCTTCGCCGAATGCCCCAGCGGCACCCATCTCGACACACCCCATCACACGTTCCGGAGTCCCATGGGGAGTTCCACTGAAGATGAAACCCGCAGCTGCGGCACTGACAACTGCATATGGTTGGGTTTTTCGCCAGGCTATTTTTTTGGTTTTTCGCCCCCCACATCCC